GGCGACGTCGCTGCTTTTATTTACGGCTAGAAATTTCTACTTCAACATCACGATACTCTCTTTCTCACCTTTTTAGATGAAGTCTCACTGTCACCCAGGCTGGAGTGCAGTGGCACAATCTCAGCTCACTGAAACCTCCGCCTCCTGGATTCAAGCAATTCTCCTGCCTCAGCCTCCTGAGTAGCTGGGACTACAAGTGCGCACCACCATGCCTGACTAATTTTTTTTGTATTTTTAATAAAGACGGGGTTTCACCATGTTAGCCAGGATAGTCTTGACCTCCTGACCTCATGATCTGCCTGCCTCGGCCTCCCGAAGTGCTGGGATTACAGGTGTGAGCCACCGTGCCCAGCCTTTTTGTTTCTTTTTTTTTTTTTTTTTTTCCTGCCTCAGGTTTATTTGTACAAATAGCACAGGAGGACCCCAGCCCCATGCAGATGGCAGCCCCAGGGGAGTTACACCAGTCCTTCTGTCCTCACATTGGCAGACAAAGATATCTATTCTGAAGCCTTTGTAGGGGCCTGGGCACCTTTGAGAGCCTGAGCTGGAACTGAAACTGGAGCTGAAGCCTGGGCCTTGGTTTGATCCTTGGCCTTGGCCTTGACCTTGACCTTTGGCCGGCAGAGCCTGAGCCCCTTGGCAATGCGTGCCCGAGCACGCTTCCCAAGCTTGGCGTGGGCAATGTAGGCAAGTCGATCGAGCTTGCGGCTGACACCCTTTGGGATCTTGGGCTTAACCTCCTTGGGCTTTACGAGGGCCTTGATGGCCTCGGCACGTGCACTCCTGGCCTTGGCATTGTTGGCCTGCATCTTCTTTAGGCCCTTCTTGTTGTGCTTCTTGGCAAAGCGCATGTTCCTCAGGAACTTGGGGTCCACCCCCTTAAGAGACTCGTATCTTTGTGATCGGGGTTTCTTGATACCATTTCTGTGCCATTTTCGGGACTGGTTGTGTGTGGTGTGGTTCTTGGACTTGGCCATGTCTGCACCCAAGCCGCGGTTCCCGAAGCTCCTAGGACCGGAAGCGCCTTTTTGTTTCTGATAGAGGTCTTGCTCGTCACCCGTGGTCTGGAGTGCAGTGGTACAGTCTCAGATTACTGCAGCCTTGACCTCCTGGGCTCAGGTGATCCTCCCACCTCCTGAGCTAGGACTATAGGCAAGTACCACCAAGGCTAATTTTTTTTGTTGTTGTTGTTGTTTGTTTGTTTTTGAGACAGAGTTTTGCTCTTGTTACCCAGGCTGGAGTGCAATGGCGCGATCTCGGCTCACCGCAACCTCCACCTCCTGGGTTCAGGCAATTCTCCTGCCTCAGCCTCCCGAGTAGCTGGGATTACAGGCACGCGCCACCATGCCCAGCTAATTTTTTGTATTTGTAGTAGAGACGGGGTTACACCATGTTGACCAGGATGGTCTCGATCTCTTGACCTTGTGATCCACCCGCCTCGGCCTCCCAAAGTGCTGGGATTACAGGCGTGAGCCACCGTGCCCAGCCCATTTTTTTGTAGAGATGGGCTTTTGGTTTTTGCCATATTGCCCAGGCTGGTCTGGAACTCCTGGACTCAAGTGATCCGCCCACCTCCTGCCTCTCAAAGTGTGGGGATTACAGGTATGCACCACCACGCCCCACTACTATCTGTATTTTTAGTAGACATGGAGCTGTAGAGACAAGGTCTCACCATATTGGCCAGGCTGGTCTCCAAGTCCTGACCTCAAATGGTCTGCCCACATCAGCCCCCCAAAGTGCTGGGATAACAGGCACTGTTCTGTTAACGCCTGGCTTCGTTCTTTATCATACAAATAATATACAAATGTTTCCTCACTGTTACGATAAACACTACAGAGAAAACAAAAGTTAATGTTGATCACCATTTGAACCCCTCACATCCTTAGAGATAATCACTGTTAGCAATTTGGAATATTCTCTTCCTGAACATAAGCTCCATGTACACTCATCTTCAGAAATTATATATATATAAAGACATAACATTTGAATATATATAAATATATATATTTCTGTAGATGAATATATATATATATTCAAATGTATGTCTTTTTAAAATGCAGGCTGGGCGTGGTGTCTCATGCCTGTAATCCTAGCACTTTGGGGGGCCGAGGCAGGTGGATCACCTGAGGTGAGGAATTTCAGACCAGCCTGGCCAACATGGTGAAACCCTGTCTCTACTAAAAATACAAAATTAGCCAGGTGTGGTGGTGTGCACCTGTAATCCCGGTTTAAAAATTTAAAATTTAAAAAAATTTTTAAAAAGGTATATATTTTGAGGGGACAGGGGTCTTACTATGTTGCCTGTGCTGGCCAGGAACTCCTGGGCGCAAGGGATCCTTCCGTCTGTTTCCCAAGTAGCTGAGACTCCAGATATGAGCCACCGCAGCAGGCCGTACCTTTTACCTGTGTAGCTGCATAATTCAAATGATGAACATACACTAGTGTAATAAGCATTCTTCTAAAGATGGAAATCTAACAAATTATGTTGCATATTTTAACAGGGAAAAAATGTGTTTTATTCCTCTTTTTATACCCAGCTCCTAGTACAAGACCTAGTAATGGGAAGATCAGTTTTTGGAGAAAAAAAATACTCAACCTCATAAACTGATTAATAAAACCAAAATAAAAAAGGAAACTGAGTTACAACAGTGGCAAAGATGCTATGTAGAAGCTGTGGATGCACACAGAGCATAGCACTGGGCTAGTCAGCCACCCTGTGTTACATCTGTTCTCGCTCTTACTGCTCAGACACTTCCCACACGAATTTCCATGACTGAGCCACCAGCCTGCTCTACATCTGTTTGGTTCCTGTTCCTTGTTTTTCGGCCTTTTCGCTGGTCATTTTTATTTTCCTTTTAGCATTTGCTCCTGAAATTTATTTCTTTTGAGACGGAGTCTTAATCTGTCGCCCAGGCTGCCAGTGCAGTGGTGCAATCTTGGCTCACTGCAACCTCCACCTCCCCAGTTCAAGCGGTTCTCTTGCGTGTGCCTCCCGAGCACCTGAAAACACTGGTGCCTGCCACTACGCCCGCCTAATTTTTGTATTTTTGGTAGAGACGGGGTTTCACCGTAATGGCCAGGCTGGTTTCAAACTCCTGACCCCAGGTGAGCCACCCTCCTCGGCCTCCCAAAGTGCTGGGATTATAAGCGTGAGCCACCGCGCCTGGCCTATTTTTTTTTTTTTTTTAAGTGTTTAGTCAGTGAACGTTCATTGATCATGCGATGTTCTTCCGCATCTCACGTGAGGGGGCTACAGCTGGTGAGTGCAGTGCAGAGGAAACTAGTATTTGTAATCAAACAGTACGGTGGCCCTATGATAAAGGCGCCATTCTCCCCTAGGGAAAATGCGGGGAAGCTTCCTAGAAGAGGGCTCCTCTTGAGGGCAAGCAGGCGAGGGTGTCGGTTGTTTAAGGGCAGAACGGGAGGTGGGCGGAGACCTCGGGCAGGGCTGATGGGCTGGGAAGTGGGCGGGGGGATGCGGGTCCAGGTGTGCGGGGCTCTGTGGGACCCCATGATGGGTCAGTGCGGGCCATTACATACCTGTGAAGAAGTGGGTCCTACTCCTTGTGAAAGGAGTTTGCTTTCGGATTACTCATGGTCACTGGAAGGAAGAGCATTTTGACAGCGGGGAATGGACCGAAAAACAAGGAACCGGAGGTCAGAGTCATCAATCAGTCAGGTGCTGACTTTCAATAGTGTGGGTCTGAAAAGCTCAAGGTTTGGACGTAGGCACATCTGATGCGTTTTTTTCCCCCTTCGGTCTTTTCTTCTTCTTCTTCTTTTTTTTTTGAGAAGGGTCTTGATCTGTTGCCCCAGTTGGAGTGCAGTGGTGTGATCACAGCTCACTGGAACCCCCACTGCCGGGTTCCAGAGATCCTCCCGCCTTAGCCTCCCGAGTAGGCACCACCATGCCCAGCTAATTTTTAAAATTATTATTTTTTGATACTGTTTCACCATGTTGGTCTGGCTGGTTGGTCTCAAACTCCTGACCTCAGGTGAGCCACCCTCCTCGGCCTCCCAGAGTGCTGGGATTACAGACCTGAGCCACGGCGCCCTGCCATTTGCGGCTTTTCGATTTTTGTTTTGTTTTGGAGACAGGGTCTCGCAGTGTTGCACAGGCTGTAGCGCGGTGGCGCCATCACGGGTCCCTGCAGCCTCGGGCTCCCGGGCTCCAGATCCTCCCGCTTCAGCCTCTGTGCTTTTATTTTTATTTCTGTAAACCGGGAGGGGGCGCGGTGTCTCGCTGTTTTGCCTGGTCTCGAACTCCCGGGCTCCAGATCCTCCCGCCTGGGCCTCCAAGCGATGGGATCCGAGGCGGGACCCACGGCGCCGTGCGCGGCCGCTCTGGTCAGAGGACGCCTTCGCGGTCACCACCCGCGGACCCGGGAGACGGCAGGAAGGCGAGCCGTGCGTGGGGGCCGCGCTGGCCGCCGCCTCTGCGATCCCTCCCCGGGGCTTCCAGAGAGCTCGGGACCCGAGGGAGCCGCAGAGCGCCGCAGCGCGGGCCTTTTCCTTACCGTGGAGCGGACGCGATGGAACGCCCGTGGTTTCCACGGACAAAAGGGTTCTGGGCGCCCTGTGGGGACGGCCGGCCGCCGCCTGTCTATCTGCGGCTGTGAAGAGCATCGTCCCACTCGCAGGTCGCCGGGACAGAGTTTCGGGCGTTGCGGGCGCGGGAGCGACCCGTGTCTCCACAAAGGAGGCGGCGCGGAGGGGGCTGCCCAGCAGCCTCGTTAGCGCAGTAGGCAGCGCGTCAGTCTCATAATCTGAAGGTCGTGAGTTCGAGCCTCACACGGGGCAGCTTCTTGTTTTGCGCCCAGCACCGCCGCTTTCTTTTCCCGTGCCCGCCGCGAGCGGCGCCCTCACGCGGGAGAGGATGGTAGCTGCGTGGGGTCTCGGAGGTCGGAGTTGGGGTTGCGGTCGGGGCGGGGCTCGGCCCTCCGGGGGGCGTGGCGGGCTCTGCGGCGAGGGCGTGGCTTGGCGCTGGCTGAGCGGGGCCGCGTTGGCGCGTGCGCAGAAGCGACGGCATCGGCCGTCACTGGGCGGCATGGCGGTGTGCGCTCGCCTCTGCGGCGTGGGCCCGTCGCGCGGATGCCGGCGCCGCCAGCAACGGCGGGGCCCGGCCGAGACGGCGGCGGCCGATAGCGAGCCGGACACCGATCCCGAGGAAGAGCGCATCGAGGCGGGCGCGGCGGTGCTGGCCGGGGTGGGGGGCGGCATGTGCCCCGGCCCCTCACCGTCGCCCCCGCGCTGCTCGCTGCTGGAGCTGCCGCCCGAGCTGCTGGTGGAGATCTTCGCGTCGCTGCCCGGCACAGACCTGCCCAGCCTGGCCCAGGTCTGCACCAAGTTCCGGCGCATCCTCCACACCGACACCATCTGGAGGAGGCGCTGCCGCGAAGGTGAGCGCGCGGAGGCGGCGGGGCCGGGAGGGTCGGGGGTCCCGGCCCGGTGGAGGCCTCGGACCTGGGAGGGGCGGGGGCGGTGGTCCCGGGCCGGGCGAGGTGGTGTTTCGGGTGGGGTGGGGAGCGGCCGCGGTGCTGCCACGTTGAGGGGGGCCAGGGTAGGATTGAGGGGGTCCGGGAGGGTCTGAGGGGTCCAGGGAGAGGCAGACGGAGATAGGGAGGGGTGGAGGGCGTCGGGGAGGCTTTGAGGAAGCCCAGCGACGGGGCACAGGACGCTGCGGGGCCGAGACGGTACCGGGAGCTGGGGCTGGGGTACCCCGAGGTCTGGGCGGGGCCTAAGCTGACGCGTGGGGGCCGCTGCCTCTTTCTCTGCCTTGGGGACGAAACGAGGGTGCCTCTGGCCCCGATCAGAGCCGAGGTGAACTTGAGGAAATCCGCAACAGGCCAGGCGCGGTGGTTCACGCAGCAGGCGTGAGAGGGCGAGGCAGGCGAAACTCCTGAGGTCAGGAGTTCGAGACCAGCCTGGCTAACATGGTGAAACCCCTTCTCTACTGAAAAAAAAAAAAAGCCCGGCGTGGTGGCGGGCGCCTGGAATCCCAGCTACCCGGGAGGATGAGACAGAAGACTTGCTTGAACCCGGGAGGTGGAGATTCCAGTGAGCCGAGATCCTGCCATTGCCCTCCTAGGGGAGCAGACAAGCCCTGTGTGTCAGGCTTCTGATAGTGGGGGTGTGCAGAGACTGGCTCCTGGACTTTTCCCCTCGGCAGTATTGGGTGTAACAGATCACAGGAGGAGAGGTTTATTTAATCTGGAGTTCAAGGCTCTCTCTGTTTAAAGATTGACAGCCCTTCGATGTTCAGACAGCTCATATTAGGTAAAAAGGAAAGGGTAGAAAGCATCCAAACTCGGCAGAACAGCAAAAGGAACAAAGTCACAGCCATCAGAGACCCTAGCAAAGATAAATCGGTCAGCATTTTAAAGAAACTCTGTCTCGGTATTCACATGCAGAGTCATGTGTACCTTCTTCCCTACAGGACAGCATGCCATATATATTCTCTTAGAGACAGTGTAGTATAAACAATACTACATAATATTTCACTGCCTGCATATAGCACAGACTCGTCCCTAACTGATAAGCTTCGAAGTCTGCGTTTTTTCCATGCATAAACAGTGCTTTGAGACTGCTTTGTGCGTTTTATAGACATTTAGGAGATTTGCATGTACCCTTGGGAACATCTGAGACTGTCTTGGTGGGGTGCACTTCCTCAGGTGGGACTGTGAGTTAGCAGGACTGCACATCGATCACACCGTTGCAACCCATTGTTGGCTCTTTGAGTTTGCACCCCAAAGAGGTGTGAATGACAAGGTCTCTTTCTCCAAGCCCTCCCCAACAGTAGAGTTACTTATTATATAAATAAAATCCACACATTTTATTTGTGTTGCTTAATGGTTAAGGCCGCAGATTTGGAGTCAGCCAACTTGGGCCCCAGCCCAGGCTCTGTTTATCTGCTGTGACAGCCTGGACAAGCTGCTTCACCTTCCCGAGTCCTGTTGGGAGCATGAGTGGGCAGTGCTGCTCCGAGAGTCACTTGCAGGGTGAATGAGGCGATGAGTGTGAAGCCCTCACCCCAAATGGCAGCTCATGGGTGTTGATGATTCTTGACCATTTTTATTGTGCCTCTTGCAAATTCCGTATTCATGGCTTTTTTTTTAGTCTTTTTTTTCTCTTAGAGTGTCTATTTTTGTCTTACAAACTGTGAGAATTGAGTATTAGTAATATTAAACTTTTGTCACATACATGGAAAGTAAAGTTCTTTTTACATTTTAAAGTTGAGACAAAAGCAGTTCCCTTTCTTTCCCTGTGAGGTCTACTCGTTTGCTCGGATTCGCACTGTGTGTAGCTGTAAGACTCAGGTTCCCCACAGATGTGTCATTGTGCTTTGAAGTTTCTCCATGAGGCAGCCAGACCTATGTGGCGATCTCTGTGGGGTGTGTCTGGGAAACCGTAAGGTGTATATGGCTCAGCAGAGGGATAATAGAAGGTTTTTTGGGTATATGTGTGTAATCAAAAAGATTCAAAGGTATACCATAGAGAACAGCAACAGGAATTACAGCTCAGAATAAATTCTTAGAATTGCTAACAGAAATATGGAAAGTCCTGATGGGGTTGTAGAAAGCAGTTGGGGACAGACATAGGACTCTTCAGTCCTTTCTTTCCCACTGCTGCTGTTCTCAGAGCAGCTGTCCTGGGACCCCAGACACTGTGACATAGAATGAAAGCATCTTGTTCACCCAGGTGACCTTTTCACAGATGTTGAATACTGTCTATAATTTAATAATTGCGCCAGGTGTGATGCCTCACACCTGTAATCCCACTACTTTGGGAGAGGCTGAGACGGGCAGATCACTTGAGGCCAGGAGTTCAAGACCAGTGTGGGCAACACAGTGAGACCCCAGCTCTACAAAATAATGCAAAAAAATTAGCTGGTGTGGTGGCACATGCCTATACTCCCAGCTTCTTGGGAGGCTGAGGAGGTGGGAGAATCACTTCAGCCATGGAGATTGAGGCTGTAGTGAGCTGTGACTGTACCACTACATTCCAACCTGGGTGACAAAGGGAGACCCCATCTCAAAAAAAAAGATAAAATAAAAAAATGCATATATAAAAAACAGAAATCTATCCAGACCATATAAATAAAATCCACACATCAAAGAAACAGAAATTGGAGAAAAAGGAGCAAAAATGAAAGATACATAAGTAAAAAAAATCCAAGTGATATCTCTCTCTCTCTCTCTCTCTCCATATATATATTTATTTAGAGACGGGTTTCACCATGTTGGCCTGACCTCAGGTGATCCACCCACCTCGGCCTCCCAAAGTGTTGGGATTACAGGCGTGAGCCGCCATGCCCGGCCAATATATATATATTTTTTAAATGTTCACCCTCACTAGTTATTAGGCAGGTGCAAAATAAAATGACACACTGTTTTTCACCCAAATTAGCATCTTTTTTTTTTTTTTTTTTTGAGATGGAGTCTTGCTCTCGTTGCCTAGGCTGGAATGCAGTGACATACCTCAGCTCCGTACAACCTCTGCCTCCCAGGTTCAAGCCATTCTCCTGCTCAGCCTCCTGTGTAACTGGAATTACAGGCATGTGCCAGCATGCCTGGCCAATTTTTGTATTTTTTTTAGTAGAGATGGGGTTTCTCTATGTTGCTCAGGTTGGTCTTGAACTCTTGACCTCAGGTGATCCGCCCTCCTTGGCATCCCAAAGTGCTGGAATTACAGGTGTGAGCCACCCCGCCCAGCCCAATTTTTAAAGAGGAGTCATTAAATCATTAAAATTAGAGAGAATATAGCAGAATTAGATAACTCATTGGATTAAATGAGAAACCGCAAGTGCCGGGAGGACATATGGCAGCTACTGTGTGACTCTGCATCTGGGCAGTTAAGGTTTTCTTTCTGTGACTTGCCCATCCATGACCTGGTTACAGATGTACAAAGAAGGGAAATTACTCTGGACAGCATCTAGCAGAACTGCTTATCTGACCCCCCCGTTCTAGCAACACCACTCCTGGATATAATCCTCAGAGAAACATTCAAATACATATGCATCCAAAGATATTAGGGTGTTCACTGCCACACAGCACGTGATGAAAAAATACAAATAAGCAAAAGAACTCTGTGACCATTTAGTTATGAACCACTGCATACCTTTTTTTTTTTTTTTTTTTTTTTGAGACAGAGTCTCACTCTTGTCTCTCAGGCTGGAGTGTAACGGCATGATCTCAGCCTCCTAGGTTCAAGTGATTCTCCTGGCTCAACCTCCAGAGTAGTTGGGATTGCAGATGCCTGCCACCATGCCCGGCTAATTTTTGTAGTTTTTAGTAGAGATGGGGTTTCACCCTGTTGGCCAGGCTGATCTTGACCTGGTGACCTCAGGTGCTGCACGCCTATAATCCCAGCTACTTGGGAGGCTGAGGCAGGAGAACCATTTGAACCCGAGGGGCAGAGGTTGCAGTGAACCAAGATTGCACCACTGCACTCCAGCCTGGTGACAGAGCAAGACTATGTCTCAAAAAAACAAATTGAATTTCCTAGAACAGGAAACAAGCAACAACAATGGGAGTGGGAGAAAGGAAGCCTCTGCCTGTCTTTTAATGTTCAAAGAATTTGGGGCCATGGCTGACTCAGGCTGTGGGTGAGGCTGGTGTGTTTAAGGACTCTTTCTAAAGTGATAGGATGCTTTGGCAGTGGGGCGGGGGGCAGAGGGAATACGCTGGCAACTGAAAAGGAGGTGGTTCTTTATAATATCTTTGCTCAGTGAGAAGCTGAAGATTTCCAGTGTCCTGTTGGCCATAGTAAGTTGGTTATTTTTATACTACTGTGCCTGTCTGGGCCCTGCATGTGGGAAAGTGGAGTGACTCAGGCTGATGGTGATTGCGGGACAGCTTGGAGCTGGTGGGTTAAGTGTTTTCTAATAGTGTTTCTCTGCACAGGTGAAGGAAGTTCCCACTGAAAGCTGTGCCTGTGCTTCTGATGTTGGGGGCAGGCAGATCACAAATAAGGGTTTCTTCCCCTGGATAGGAAACAAAACGCACTCCAGCCTGCAGGGCCTGGCAGGGTGGGTGCGGGATCCTCCTGATGTGTCACCCTCTTGGCCTCAGGCAGTTTGCCTGAGGGCTACAAAGGAACCCTCACTTTCTGGCCTGCTGGTGGCAGGAGCCAGCTGCCTGTCTTGCTTGCGCCCCTTCTGGGCTTTTTTTGGTTACTTGTTGACCGGTTAGTTTGTGAGTTGTGAAATGCCAGCTCATTTTGGCACTGTTCTTTTTTTTTGAGACAGGGTCTTGCTCTTTTGCCCAGGCTGAAAGGCAGTGGCGTGATCTTGGCTCATTGCAACTTCTACCTCCCAAGTTCGAGTGATTCTCTGCCTCAGCCTCCCTAGTAGCTGGGATGACAGGCATGCACCACCATGCCCAGCTAATTTTTGTATTTT